CCCGGCGGGGGGGTGGGCGAGCGGCGCCGGAGCGCCTGCCGGGCTCGGGCCAGAGCGGATCCGGGGTCGGGGCCGCAGCGGGGACCCCCCGGAGGCGGGGCCTGTGGGACCGCGATGGGCGTGGAGATCGAGACCATCTCCCCTGGAGACGGTACCGGGCGGCGGAGTCGGGGGAGGAGGAGAGGTCCCGGGGAGGAGCCGGGCGGGCCGGGGTCTGGTTCCGAGGTGGCTCGCGGGGTGCCAAAGGGGAGCGGGGCCAGGATGCGGAGGCCGGGGGAGACTCCGGGCTGGATTCTCGAGGGTGTAGGGGAAGATCCTGCACCACCCTCTTCCGCGTCAGCGCACCTAGGGGAACGCAGGCGGCGGCCCCGAGGGTCAGCCGCCCGCCACCGCCCTGGGGGCCCCGCCGCTGGACCGGTTCGCGTATCTGCTGCTGCTGATTTCCCAGGGCCGGGTTTCAGCTCCCTGCCATGCTGGGTGAGCTCTGGAAACTGGGGAAAAGACCTGCGTTGGGGTCTCTGCTGCTCTGGAAGCCAACTAACGCGCGCCCCCCGGGGTGGGCTTCCAAGGCTGGAAGGACCAGCCTGTCTGGGGCAGAGAAGCGCTCCCTCTGCCGCCTCTGCTCGCGCTCTCCCCTCCCTGGCCGTCCGTCCACTCCTCTGGCCTCCAAATTTAAGCGACTCAGTCCAGACCTCCGACCTGCGGTTCGACCTCCACCTGAGTGTCCTAGGGTCCCTCAGAGTCAGCAAGGTGCTCCTCTGTGGTCTCTGTTCCCCGGGTCCCCTACTGGCACCACTCGCTCTCCCACACCTTTGTCTAGTTGGGTCTGGGGATGCAAAGAATAGCCTTTTCTTTATTTCCTAAATCGAATTTAATTCAGACTCCATGGCTACAGGGCGTGACAGGCAAACTTCTATAAGCTGTTGTTGACAGCTCCCCTCCCCAGGAAATCCGAGGGCTTCTCGGTTCTAGGGTACCCTCTTTGTTGAAAGGCAGTGGTCCCTAGAGCGCCCAGGCACTACCCTGATCACCCGGTGTGTGCAGGCTTCTTTGCTCCAGCAGAGAACTTTGATGCCGGCCCACGGAGCATCACCCTGAGACCTTGTCACCTCCTACTGCATCTGAAATGCTCTCCCCACTTTCAGTCTCACCTCCTTGCCTTCAGTCTGGCCTCCCTACATCACTCCCACTCATTTTCTTTCCTTCTTTCTTTCTTTCTTTCTTTCTTTCTTTCTTTCTTTCTTTTTATTTTCTTTTTTCTCTTTTTTGGAGAGGTTTTTGCTATAGGGTGTGTGCAGTCACCAGAAAGACAAAGATACAGAGACAGAAAGCAAGAAATCACCCCCCAGAGGGGATGGCCACACCACAATCCCTTCTCCTCCATTCTCCTCTCAGGATCTTGGGCACGCACGCACACGTGCCCTGCGTGAGTTTAAGCCACTAGGTCTGGGACTCCAAACGAGGTCGACTACGTGGGAGTCCAGTGACATAGCCATTACGCCAACTGCTGGTCCCAGTCCCACTCATTTTCTATGACACAGTCTGATGTGTCACTAAGAGGCTTAAGTGACCGTGCCTGTCCCTCAAAATCTTACAGTGATTTTTCTAGAGAGTTTCTTGGTGATATGGTCTTTTTGAACCTTCCACATCAAACAGAATATCTCTTGCTACCTGTCCCTACGCCCACCCGTTGCTTTTTTCCCAGCTTTGCCAAGTGCCCTGCGAGTTGTTAAACACACCACACATTCAGCAAATATTTATTGAGCATGTCCTGTGTGCTGGGCCCCAGGGTTATAGAGGGAAACAGCTGAGGCTCCTGCATCGCTGGCCCCTCTGTCCTTAAACATGTTGTTCCATGTAGTTCCCTCTTCCCAGGTGCTGTCCCTTTATTTCCTCTAGCAAACTCCTATTCATAGTTTTTAAAGAATTATTTATTTCTTGAAATTCCATTTGTTATTATTATTTTTTAATTTGACCATATATATAGAGAGAAAGGTAAAGCAAGAAAGTAAGCCCTCAGGTCTGGAATTGAACTGCAGTTGGCCATGTGGGAATCCAGCGCTTTTAACCACCACACCACCTGCCAGCCCACCCCCATTCATCCGCTATTTTTTAAAGAATTATTTTACTTAACTTTATTTATTTTAATTTGACCAGAGAGGAACAGAGAGAGAGAGAGAGAGAGAGAGAAAGGGAGAAAGCAAGCCGCCAGGTCTGGGACTTGAACCATGGTCAGCCATGTGGGAGTCCAGTGCCTTTCACCACCATGCCACCTGCTGCCCCCATCCCATTCATCTTTTAAGACCCAATTTAACCATGATCTCTATAATGCTGTCCTGGACCCTCCCACTTAGTTGCTCTCTCCTCCTACTCCCACAGAGTCCTCTCAATGTTGAGGCTAGTAGGCTTCCCCAGACCCCATTGGGCAGCCCCTTAGCTCAGTTCCACCCTGATGTACACCTCCAGTGCAGACCCTTCTTCTGCCTCCATATAATAGAAACACATCTCAAGATTGCCACCCACACAAACCTGTTCCTCCTGTCTTCCCCATCTCAGGAAATAGTTCCACCACCCATCCAGTTACCCAAACTGAAAACCCAAGCATCATTTTCATTTTCTCCTTTCTGCTCATCCTGAACCCCATCTCTATTCTCTTTGTGTGCTCTGTCAGCTCCACTTCCAAAGTGTATCTCCAATCTGTTTCACTCTCTTCTCTGCTGCCACCACGTTCATTCAAGCCATCATTGATTTCTTGTCTGGATTATTACAGCAGACGCCTAGCCGTCTATCCTACACGCAGCAGCCAGAGTGATCTTATAAAATCTTAATTCAGATTATGTCATTCTCTTGTTTAAAACCCTCTCCAGTGACTTCCAATTGCACTTAATGTTAACTCTGGCTCTGTGAGCCCTGCATGATCTGTCTGTTTCCCATTTCTTTCCCCTCCTTTCTTTCCAGTCATTTACTCTCTTCTAATTTTGGTTTTTGCCACAAGGAGTGTGCGTGCTTACCTGGAGAAAGAGAGAGAGAGGGAAAGTGAAAGATCATTCTCCCGCCCCCGCCAGGGTTGATGGCCATACTGAAATTCCCTCTCTGCCATTCTCCTCTCAGGATTTGGGGCAGACACGCATGTGTGCCTGGTGTGAGGGTCCAGGGCTCAAACCATGGTCAGCCATGCAGGAGTCCAGCATCTTAACCACCCTGTCACCTGCTGGCCCCTCTTTTCTTCTAATTTAAAAAAGATATTTCTTCCATCAGCAATAGAGATAAAGACAGAGAGACAGCACCCCCAACAGGGTCTTAATGCTGCAATTTGCCTTCAACTTCAGCAAACTAGGGTCATGGGCACACACCCCGGACATGAACAGGGAACCCTCCTGTGTGGTCAGGTGCTTTTTTTTACACACACACACTTTGCACATCCTTCAAGTGCCAGTTTACTTGCCACCTTTTCTCTAAGGCTATTTCTAAAATAGCCTGTCCCACCATCTCTCTCTCTCTCTCTCTCTCTCTCTCTCTCTTTTGCTATAGAGCATGTCTGCTCACCAGAGACATGTGAGGAGTGAGAAATAACCCCCCAAGGGAGATGGCCATGTAAAACCCTTCTCCATTTTCCTGGAGGAAGTTTGGGCAGACATGCATGCACACAGTCCTGGTATGATTTTCTTTAAGAATTTTTAAATTTTTATTTTATTTATTCATTTACTTTACTTTGACCATCCACCCCCATCAAGTCCAGGACTTGAACCATGGTCGGCAATGTGGGAGTGCCCAGCATCTTAACCACCACGCCACCTGCTGGTTTCCACTCCTGGTATGATTTTCAAACCTCCATCCAGGTCCAAGACTTGAGCCATTCAGTCAGCCACGTGGGATCTAGCACCTTAACCTCTACACCACCTGCAAGCCCCCACTATGTCTCTTTTTGATTTATCGTTATGTTTATTTTCTTTAGAGTACTTACCACAATCCATAATTGTCTTATTTGAGGAAGGATTATCACCCTTCATTTGAATGTAAATCCCCGAAGAGCAGGGGGTTGTCTGTATTGTTCACTGCTGTATCCCCAGGATCAGGCACAGGCCTGGTACCTAGCTTTTTTTGAGAGTTTTATTTTTTTGCTATAGGGCATGTGCACTCACTGGAGAGGCAGAGAAAGATGGAAAGTGAGAAATCGGCCCCCCAGGGGGATTGGCCATGCCAAATCCCTTCTCCTCCATTCTCCTCTTGGGCTTTTGGGCACACACACACATGCCTGGTGTGAGTGTCAAGCCACTGGGTCTGGACTTGAACTGTGGTCAGTCACATGGGAGTCTAATGCTTTAACCACTACACCACCTACTGGCCCCTATGGATCCTTTTCTTTTCTTTTTAAAAAAATTTTATTATTTTATTTAACTTTAGTTAGTTTTAAAAATTTGACCAGAGAAGGAGAAAACAAGAGACAGAGGGAAAGTGAGAAAACAAGCCGTCTGGTTCAGGACTCGAACCACAGTCAGTCATGTGGGAGTCCAACACTCTTAACCACCACGCCACCTGCTGGCCCTGGATCCTTTTCTTAAAAATAATTTTTAAAATTTTATTCACGAGAACACATGCACACATGAAAGAGAGAGGCAGAAAGAAAGAAAGAAAAGCACCCCTGATAAGCTCTCATCACCCCAGAATCCCCTTTTCCCAGCCCTCAATCTTGTAGGGACCTGGGGCACATGCACATGCACCTGGTTTGTTTTCATACCTGAGGATCTGAACCCACAGACAGCCGTATGGCTTCTAGCACTGCAGTTCACTCTGCTACCGACTGGACCACCACAATGGGCCTGTTTATGCATCCTCCATAAGCAGTTTGCTCTGCATTATAATCTAGGATTTACGTGTCTGTTTCCTCAACTTCCTCATGAGTTCCTATATTCCTCTATATCTCTGGACTCTAATCCTACCCTGGCACATAGTAGGCCATCCATAAATGTTTGTGGAACGCATGAAGGGAAGTAAAAGGAGTAATCAGGGCCAGATAGTGGCACAGTAGTCACACGACTAGACCCACATGGGAAGGTCTCGGGTCCCCAACCCAGGACCTTCCTGTGTATGCCAGGTGCATGCACACGTGCCCTTAATCTGGGTTGGCTGAGGCCGGGAGTGGATTACAGCTTGGGGGCCCTAGTGGGAGTGCCTGTCTCTCTCCCTTTCTCATGTGTGTCTCTCTCATGGGAGAAATAAACTTTTTAAAAAGAAAGGACAATCAAAGGAAGAGAAAAGCCTGGAGGAAAGGAGGCTGAGAGAGGAGACATGAGCTCTGGCTCACACGAGGCACAGAGCCAGCGAGGGCCGCTGGCATGCCCGTGCTATGGAGGGGGAGACTGGGGCCTGAGCTCTTGGTCAGGATCACACCTGAGTGTGCCAGGTGAGTTTTCCCAATACCCTGCTCCTTCATCTGCCCTGTGTCTCCTTGCAGGAAGGACATTTCCCAAGAAGGGCCAGACGTGTGTGGTGCACTACACAGGTAGGCCTTGCTCCCTCCGCCCTCACCCAGACCTGTCCTTCCCAAGGGCTCCCTTCTGAGCTTGTCTCCAGAGGTGTGTACCCTATAAATCCAGCCAAGAGCCCAAGGCAGCCAGAACTCCCTGTGACCAGCCCTCCCCCACTCCTCCCAGCCAGTCTCCTGGACTGAGTGGGCCCTGCCCACTCAGACCAGCCAAGGCCCTTGCAGGTGCCAGCCTCTATTTGAATAAGGGCCTCCAGCCCCCTTTCCTCTGTTGTAGGCCAGGAGCCCCAGTCCTCCTGGTTCTGTCTGGTATTCAGAAATCCCTCTTAAAACTCAGAGGGTCCTGAAACTCTCAGCAGACTCTCTTCATCCTCCAGTATCATTAGAGAAGAGCAGGCTGACCACTTCAGAATCTCCTTTCTCTTTCCAGAAAAGACTAAAAGTCCCATCCAGTCCCAATTGAATTCAGTACCTACTGTGGGAATGCTGTGCTGGACACAAAGGAGGGAGGGTCCCGTCTTCACTGGGGCCGTGGTGGGAGGTGGGAGAGGACAGACAAGTCACCCGGAGAATCAGATGCAGCATGAAGGATGGAGTGCTTGTCTCCAGGTGCTGGGGGAGCCCAGAGGAGGGCCCCCATCTCTGCTGACCCCTCTTGGATGCCCTGGCTCTGCAGGGTAGGTGGTCTGAGGGACAGGCTAGCTCTCAGGACTGCTGGCAGGAAGATCGCGAGCAGGTGTTGATTCCAAGGGGGGTGAGCTCTCTGCCTTGTGACCTGTTTCCCGATGTGGCAAAGGTGGTGACAGCCACTTAGCATACAGCAAGGCCAGTTTTATTCCTGGGACATATTCAGAAAGGGCCATTTTTAGCAGCTCTCCAGGCCGGTGTGAAGCACCAGGTTCATCCTAGGCAGACCGTGCGGATGCGTCTCGACCACGGTGTTGCTGGTCGTGACGTCAGTGGGCTGGAGCCGTATTTTAGCTCCTGGTGATGAGGCCTAATTACCATCGGTCCTCTGGGGCCTCTGACCCCTGTAATTGATTTATCTGTTCTACATGTTGTAGACTGACCAGTATTTATCAAGTTACTGAAACCACAACATCCTTTTGCAAAGTCTTTTCACAATGCATACATAGAGCAGGTGAAGTGCGTTCAGTACTAGCAGCTGTGAGCGGCTCTGGTTTGGGGAGAAATCGTCTATCGAGCATAGCAGGAGACTGGAGGGGACTTTTGGTAAACATTTTTTTAAGCTACTTATTTATTTGGTTTTTGGGAGATTTTTGCTATAGGGTGTGTTCACTTGCCCAAGAGACAGAGAAAGAAGAGAGAAAGTGAGAAGTCACTCCTCCCCACAAGGGGGATGGCCATGCCACAATCCCTTCTCCATTCTTAAGTTGGGATTTGGGGCACGCACACACACACCCAATGTGAGTTTCAAGCCTCCATGTCCAGGACTCAAGCCATGGGTCACCTATGTGTGAATTCAGCACCTTAACCACTACACCACCTGCTGGCCCCAATTATTACTATTTTCAAAATTGCTATGGTGCTCACCAAAGAGAGAGAGACAGAAAGTAAGAAAGCAAGCCACCAGGTCTGGGACTCAAGCCACAGTCGGCCATGTGGAAATCCAGTGCCTTAACCACCCCACTGCCTGCTGGCCCCACTTTTGGTAAACTTTTAAATTAAATATACAGTAAAGAACATAATAAAATATACAGCTTGATAAGTGTTTTCAAAGTGACCCCAGTTATGGAACCACCTCTCAGATGAATATGTAAAACATTATCGGCACCCCCTAGAAGTCCTCCGCATACCTCCTCTTAGTCATTCTGCCTCCCAGAAGTGATCTTATTCTGACTTTTGTCCCCATGGATTCGTTTAGTCTGATTTTGAACTTAGTGTAAATGCAATCAGAGTATGTATGTACTCTTCTGTGTTTTGCTTATTTCACTCAATATTATGTCTGTCTGTTCTTTTTACTCTGTATAGTATTTCCTTTATGAATGTGCTATAATTTGTCGTTCTCTTCTAGTGTTGAACGTTTGGATTATTTATAGTTCAGTTATTTAAAATACGACTGCTTTGAACAGTTGTGTAGGTGTGTCTTAGTGCACATATGTACACACAGGTACATGGAACTGTTCAGGTCCAGGGCTCTCCCTGCACTCAGCCTCAGCAATACTGCCACACAACTCTCCAAAGCAGTTGTGCCAATTTATGCTTCTGCCAGTGTAGGAGAGTTCCAGTTACCTTGGGTCCTCACCAACATTTGATGTTGTCAATTTTTTTAAAAAGAATTATTTATTTTGTTTATTATTATTTAATTTGACCAGAGAAAGAGAAAGTGAGAAAGCCACCAGGCTGGCCAGGTGAGAATCCAGTGCCATGATCACCACGCCAACTGCCGGCCCAATATTGCCAGGTTTTAGTTTCAGTTTGTTTTTGGCCTGCTCTGGTGGGTATTCTGTGGTATCTCCTTGTGGTTTTGATTTGCATTTCTGATAAATAATGAATTTAAGCACTTTTTCATATACCTATTGGCCATTTGAACATCTTCTTTAGACTGATCAAATTTTGTCAATTAAAAAATAATTTAGTCATGATTGAGTGCATCTACACGTGAAAGTGGGAGAGAGAGCTACAAAAACAGGAGCAGACCAGCAGGTGGTGAGCTGGTTAAGGTGGCTGGACCTCATGTGGCTGATTGCATGGTTTAAGTTTCAGGCCCAGTGGATTGAAAAACATGCCAGCACATGTGCCTTCATGCCCGAAATCTCAAAAGGAGAAATGGAGAATGGATAGTGGTATTATCACATACCCACTGAGGGGATGCTTTCTCATTTTCCCTTTCTCCCTTTCTGTTGAGTACACATGCCTTCTGACAAAATTAAAAAAAGAAGAGGGGCCAGCAGGTGGCGTGGTGGTTAAGGGTGCTGGACTCCCACATGGCTGTCTATGGTTTGAGTCCCAGACTCAACAGCTTAATTTCTCACTTTCCCTCTCTCTCTCACTCTGTCCCTCTCTGTTCAAATTAATATAAATAAAGTTACATAAAATAATTCTTTTTTTTTAAAAAAAAAAAAAGAGAAGACAAGACAGAAATGAGCATACATCACATGTTCTGCTCATGCCACATTCCCCCCATTCAGTCCTCTAGTTCGTTGGGTCTTGGGCACTCACTCTCATGCCCAGAGGGCTTCAGGCTGATGAGGCCAGGAATTCAAACCACACTTGCAATGTAGGATCCAGCTTCTCTTGAGCAGAGCATTACCGCTGTGCTATGGAGCCAGCCAAATGTTTAAAAAATTAGGTTGTCTTTTTCTCATTGATTTATGGGAGTTCATTATGAATTCTGGATATGAGTCTTTTTTTAGTAGCGTCTGAACATCTTTTACATCGTGGCATGCCATATTTTGAATAGAGGTCTTACTTTTTTTTTTTTTTTTTTCAACTTGCCAGAGGTTGTGTGCACTTGTAAGAGAGAGAGACAGAGAAAAGGGAAGAGTGAGAAAGCACACACACACGCTCCATGGCAAATGGGCACACTGAAACACCTTTTCCTGTCAGGATTTTGGGGATGCACTCACATGCTCCCAGTATATCTTTCAAGCCTCCTGGTCTTGAGCTCAGACTGCATGGTTGGCTGTGTGGGAATCAGCCACCTCAACCAGTCCATGGGCTTGACTGAAGTTCTTAATTTTTTTTAATTGGTTGAGTACGTTGTCTTTAGACAACTGTATACTCTTTATAAAATTTATCTTATTTATTTTTTCTTTTTTTAATTGACCAGAGAGAAACACAGAGAGAGAGAGAGAGAGAGAGAGGAAGTGAGAAAGAAAGCCACCAGGTCGGGACTCGAACCATGATCAGCCATGTGGGAGTGTTCAGTGTCTTAACCACCATGACACCTGCTGGTCCCTAAAGTTCATTTTAATGTCTCTCTTACCATTTTTTTTTTCCTTTACTGCTAGTACTTTTAGAATTCAGTTCTGGAATTTATCTCTAGATCATGAAGATATTCTTCTATGTATTATTATGTAGTTTTAGTCTTATTTAGGTCTATGATTTGTATGGAATTGATTTTTGTGTTGATTTAGTAGGGATCAAGGTTCATTTTTCCCCTTTATGGACATATAGTTGCTCTAGCAGCATTAATCAAAAACAAACAAACAAACAAACAAAAAATCTTTATTTGTTGCATTGCAGAAGTATCTTTGTCAAATCAAGTAATCATATCTATGTGGCCTATTGTTTCTGAACTGCCTAGTTCTGGCTGAATTTGTAGCAACAGGTTACTTTGTATGGCCTGAAGTACTCTAAGGCATATGAAACTATAGAATGAGAAAGTCAGTCTATAAGTGGAATGTGTGAGTGTGTGAGTGTGCATATGTGCATATGCATATTTGTTCAAGTATGTCTGTGTGAATATATGTAGACCTGTGTATCTAAATATTTTCTTAGCATCTGTTTGGCCCTTCGAGTTTTGCTTTGGAGTGCGTTGTGTGTGTCTGTGAGCATGCATAAGTGTCTCTGTGTATTTGAATATCTTTGCAACCTGTGTGTGTGCGCGCATGAGTTTGTTTTTGGTCTCCTTAGCATCCATCTGTGAGTCTCTCCACATAACCATAAGGGTTTTCTCCTTTGTCTCATTTAGCACCCAGGGGAAGAGCCTAATTTATTCTACCCAGAACATAGGTAAATAAGCCCATTTCTATGGTATGCATTTTAGTTATAAGAATTGGAAAATGGAGTCCTAATTACTCAGACACTAAGATGGCCCAGCTCCCACGCTAAATAAGGCAAATATAGGGTCCAGAGAGAAGAAGTGATTTGCCTAACATTATCACACAGTTAGTGCCAGAATGAAGTAAGAATCCAGCCTCAAGTCAGCTCCGTGGGCTACTGGTTAAGGGAGCTAGATCCCACATGGCCAACTGTGTGGTTCAAATTGCAGACCTGGTGACTTGAAAACCATGCCAGATATATGTGCATGCATGCTCGAAATCCTGACAGGATGGAGAAGTGGAGGAGAAGGGATTGTGGTGTGACCATACCCCATTGGGGGGTGCTTTCTTCTCTCTGGCAAATGCAGGAAACTTCTGCCAAAATTTTTTAAAAAGAAGAAGAATCCAGGGGACCAGCAGGTGGCGTGGTGGTTAAGGTGCTGGACTCCCACATGGTCGACCACAGTTCAAGTCCTGGACCTGGTGGCTTGCTTTCCCACTTTCTCTCTCTCTCTCTGGTGAAATTAAAATAAATTAATGAGTAAATTAAATTTTTTTAAAAAAAAGAAGAATTCAGTCTCCAGACTTATAGGCCAGGTCTTGCCCAGATTGCCTTTTGTGGTGTCCAGAGACTACAGAAAGAAGCTGTGGAACTGCATCATTTGTAGGAGCTCTGATCTGGGCATCAGAATGACCAAAAAGAATAGAAAGAAGAAAGCAGTTCTTGGGCTTTGGGCTGCTGGGTGGGGCGCACATGTACACACCAGGATGTACAGCTGAGGGATGTTCTCAACTGCTAGAGGCAGCACCTCGGGTGTTCCAGCTTCAAACAGTCCTAGTCTAGAGGCCACCACTGCCCGGCTAGATCACCTCACACTATCACTGGAGTAGGCAATGATACGACCTTTGGGTTTTGCATTTTGGGGGAACCTTAGGGAAACTTAGGAGCATTAGGTAAGGACTCAGCCTGAAGCTAGAATATCTGGGAAAACAGAACTTTAGGCTGAGGAAGTGGCACAAAAAAGGTGTGACGTGCAGAGCAAATTGAGAAAGATGGGATACGAGTAGGATGCAGGGGTGAGGGAAAAAAGGGAAGAGCAGAGAGGGTTATAAGACAGGCAACAGCCAGATCTTGCGGTGCTTGTGTACAATGCAGACGTTTGCGTTCTGATTCTGTCCTGGAGAATGTGTTTTAAGCAGGGGAGTAATATGATCAGATTTATGTGTAAAGAAGAAAAAATTAGTCTAAATGCTAGTGATAAACGGGACGGAGGAGTAAAAATGGAACAAAAAGACCAACTAGGAGGTTGTTTTGTCCACAGGTGAGTCCGCAATGTAGTAACAGAATTGGAGGAAATAGGTACATTCCAAGGATACGTGGGACCTGATGACAGGCCACAAGTGGGCGAGGTGGATGGGGCATGTCCAGGTTTCTTACTTGGGCAGCAGGATAGGTGGGGAGGATTGGAGGAGAAGGTTTGTGCATAACAGGAACTCCGTGTTAGACATGGCAGATCCGAGTTGGGAGTGAACTCAAGACCACAGCTCTTTCCCACCCTGTTCTTGTTTTGACAGGAATGCTCCAAAATGGGAAGAAATTCGATTCATCCCGAGACAGAAACAAACCTTTCAAGTTCAGAATTGGCAAACAGGAAGTCATCAAAGGTTTTGAAGAGGGCGCAGCCCAGGTAGGATGAGGGTACACGAAAGGGGATTGGAGGAGTCAGGGTTCTGGGTTTAGCACTCTGCCCTCCACCCCCACTCTCACCCTGGCAGAGACCCCCGCTGCTTTAACGCTGTTGCCAAGGCAGTGCAGTGCCACCTGGCGTTCACTTCTGGTCTTTGTCCCCACCTCTTTTATTGCCATTGTGCCTCTTTGAGTCACTGAGGTTTCCTGATCCCAAGCATGTCCCCAAGGGCTTGCCTGAAATTAGCCAAGGAGGCCTATCTGCTATCTTGGACGGAGGCATTAGAGAAGTTGGAGAGAGTAAGCCAAGACTTTTTTTTTCCTTAAACATATTTTTGGAAACAATCTCATACTTACCGAAGTATTGCAGAAATTGTAGTGTTCCAAAATAGTCTAACTCAGCTTCCCCAGATGTGAACATGTTCTATAATCGTAGTACAGTGATCAAAACCAGGACTTTGAAACAATATATTGATTTTTTAATTGATTATTCAAAATTCCAAAACCAATTTATTGAAATTTCACCAGTTGTGCCACCAATGCCCAGTGGGTTCTTACTGCTGTGATGCGCTCAGGTTCAAGTCCTCTGGTCTGTAAAGTGATGCAATGCTCCACTGGAGTCCCTTAGCCCTCGCCTCCTTCCTGTGGCCTCAAACCTCTGACCCTCTGTAATGAACTGCTCCTATAGCACTTCCTGGGTGTACATGTGCTATCTATATGCTTCTTATATGCTCTTTTACACTTCTTTGGAAGAGAGTGAGAAGAGAAGTGTTTGGGCCACACACAAATTGAATAGTCAGTAATGTTTGTCAGACAAATGAATTTAAGGCTATTGTGTAGAGGTTATTGTCCCAGAATGAAGTCTCAGCTGTGCTATTCTGAGGCAGAATCTGTATTTCTTAAAGCTCTGAGCACAATGTCAACATGTCACATATAAAACTCATCTCAAATCTTCAGCGTTACCATGAGGCTCATTTGGGAAAATGCCATAGTTACCTTACTTTTTTCTTTTAAATCAAGCTGGGTCCTCTTTCTCCCTTTCCCCATCTGCCCCCATCCCTGCTAGATGAGCTTGGGGCAGAGGGCGAAGCTGACCTGCACCCCTGATGTGGCGTATGGAGCCACGGGCCACCCTGGTGTCATCCCTCCCAATGCCACTCTCATCTTTGACGTGGAGCTGCTCAACTTAGAGTGAAGGCAGGAAAGAACTCAAAGTGGTTGGAGATGGCTGCTGCTCACCCTCCTAGCCTGCACGGCCGCTGGGACGGCTCCCCCTGGTCGGGGCTCTTGATCAGTGTGCTGACCTCATTGCCCCATCGCGTCCTGCAGTCTCTGCCCGTGCAGCTCGGTATGTGTTCGTCACTGTTCACGCGCTTCCTTGCTTGAGGAAACTTCAGTTGCAAATTGAAGCATTTCAGGTTGTGCATTTTATGTGATGCATGTAGTAGCCGTTCCTGATCACAGAACACAGATATCTTGTTTGCACAATCTACACTGCCTTACCTTCACGTAAGCCAGACACACAAGGTGCTCAGATGTGAAACGTTCGTGGCGTACACAGAGGGACTTGAGCCAGTTACCTTTGCTGTCACGTCCTCTTATAAAGTCTGTGGGCTGCTCACTGACACAATGTCATCTTTGGAAATAATATGTAAAATAAAGGCTCTGTGCTTGACAAATCCCTGTCCTTCCTTACTGTAGGTAGGAATTACTTTAAGGACCACACAAGCCAGTTGCCTTTGGGGGGAAAAGTGGAAAGGAGACTTCTAAGTTGCTAGGAGAGTGATGATAAACAGAATAATTACAATGTGAGCGTTGCACATGCTGGACTGTTCTACATAAATAAAATCACCACCAACCCTCTAAGCAACCCTGCAAGGTAGGTATTACCGGACACCACATAGTTCAGAATTCCCCTCTGCATAACTAAAGGAATACACTGTGTTCAGATCCTGTAGCCTAGCAAACAGTTGTGGGTTTGAGCACCCTGTGTGATCTTGTGATCTCTATTTGGACTAGAGCAAGAGGGACAAGCTCTTCTCACCCAGAGAGAAACGATTTGCGTGAACAAACGAAGGTATGATAAAGGTTTGAGACCATATAACTCACATTGGGAGGTTACCTTTGAAAAGAATGTGTGATTCTGAGCTTCTGTTCATTTACACTGCTTAGCTGCATCTAGATTTGTTCTTACATTGGTGAATTCCAAGAATGAATAATTCTGAACTTGTTTCCACATATACCACTTATTTTCATCAACATTTACTGTACTAGTGAATCCTGTTCAGTTTTTAAATGTACCTATTTATTGGTGTAGGTTGTGTGTAGGTTGGCCTAGGGCAATGTGACTGAGAGCTTTTTCTTTTAGTTGGAATAGGGGGAGAACTCTTGGCCATTGTCAGGGTTATTCTGTCAGTGATGCCTTATAATTATTATTATTTTTGCTGGTTTTAGATTTTTGCCATAGGGTGTGTGTGCTTGTTGGAGAGAGAGAGATAGTGAGAGGAAAAAATGAAACACCCGCCCTGCCCCAGGGGGAAGGCCACACGGCAAGCTCTTCTCCCCCATTCTCTTCCTAGACTCTGGGCATGCACACATACGTGTCCAGCATGGTTTTGAAGATGCCAGGTCCAGGACTCTAACTGCAGTCGCTCATGTGGAAGTCCAGTGCCATAACCACTATGCTGCCTGCTGCCCCTGTAATTGTTTTAAAAATTGAGGAGGGTATTGTTAGTTTTCTTCACAGACCCAGTGAGCTGTCACATGATAGTATATATAACAAGGGTCCCCAACCAGGCTGTACAGCAGGAGGAGAACAGCGGGTGGTTAAGTCACGTTTCAGTTTCATCTGGATTTACAGCTGTTCCCTGTCGCTCATATTACCACCTCAGCTCTGCCTCCTGTCAGATGAGTGGTGGCATTAGAGTCTCATAGGAGTGCGAACCCTACTGTGAACTCCATGTGAGGGATCTTCATTGTGCTCTCTTATAAACCAGCCCCTCCCCCACCCCATCCGTGGAAAAATTGTCTTCTACACAACCAGTTCCTGGTGCCAAGAAGGTTGGAGACTGCTAATACATATAATACAGGCCCACATCACCCTGGCTATGTCATCTATCCCCTTTCCTCTGCTAAGGGATATGGAGTTAACGAAGAGGGCGTACTTTAGAATGGAGAATATGAAATGAGAAAGGAGTTGCCTTGTTTTATTTTGTTGTTCTTCTTTTTTAGGTTTTTGCCATAGGGCACATGTGTTCACCAGAGAGAGAAAGTGAGAAATCACCCCCCAGGGGGGATGGCTACGTCACAATCCCTTCTCTTTTTCTCTAGGGATTTTGGACATGCATGCACATGCACACAGCATGATTTTCAAGCCGCCAGGTCTAGGACTCGACTGGTTGGTCATATGGAAATCTAACGCCTTAAACACCATACAACCTGGCTGGCCCCAAGCTGCTTTGCTTCTAGTCACTCACAGTTCCTGTGCCCAGCTCTACCCCAAGACCAGACCAGCTACAGGATGTTGTACTCAATTCTGTGATGTGTTGCCTTCACAATGTCTTCATTGCCAACTTTCCTTGATCCAAGTGTCTATTAATTTCTCAGAACTCAGTCTGTATAAAAAACATAGTTACATTTCTGCTGTGACACCAATGGGATAACTAAAAATGGCACCAAGGACTACTTCAGGCGCCTACCATGGGGAATACAAAGGATCTTAGTCTAAAGTATTTATAACCTATGTGGTAACAGGAGACACACTAGGAAGTATCTTCAACCCCTTGCAAAAAAATGCAATTATACTGGGACCAGCAGATGGCATAATAGTTACATTGCTAGACTGCCACATAGTCAACTGCAGTTCGAGTCCTGGATCCAGTGGCTTGAAACTCACATTGGGCTGTGTGCATACTCAAAATCCCTAGAGGAGAATGGAGGAGAAGGGACTGTGGTGTGGCAATCTCCTGGGGGGTGATTTCTCGCTTTCTGTCTGTCACTCTGGCAAAAATTTTTGCCTTATAGCAAAAATCTTTTAAAAATAAAATAAAATGCAATTATATCTACTGGCTAGCATCTGAGAGGATATACTAGGCTTTGCAGGTAAATTAAGAAATGACCCATTTTACTGGAGCTCTTAAAAGATGATGTAGACGGGCTAGTTGGCATAATGGCTGTCACTGGACTCCCATGTAGTCAACCGTGGTTCAAGTCCCAGACCCCGTGGCTTAAACTCACAACAGGTGCATGTGCGTGTGTGCCCAAGATCTAGAGAGGGGAATGAAGAAGGGATTGCGGTGTGGCCATCCCCCCTAGGGGGTGATTTCTTACTTTCTGTCTCTATCTCTCTTTCTGGCAAACACATGCACCTTATAACAAAAACCTCTTCAAAAAAAAAGAAAAAGATGATGTAGAAAATGATGCTAGTTTAGACATTGTCCAGTGAGAGCCATTAAGAATTGTGAACAAGGAGAGCAATAATAAGACCTATGTCCTATCAGTCATTTTGAAACTTTTAGTCAATGAATTCTGTATTCATACAAATTCTTAAACTCAAAACTTATCAAGATGAAAGTTAAGCTCTTGTACACTTGTCTGCACATATACACACGTTATCTTTTTTTTTTGCTGTAGGAAATGTGAGCTCACCAGAGAGTGGGCTGGAGAGAGTGAGAAATGACCCTCCATGGGGGATGGCCAAGCCATAATCCCTTGTCCTACACTCTCCTCTTGGAATTTAGGGCATACACGCAGAACATTGTTTTTCAAGCCACCAAGTCTGGAACTTGAACCGCAAAGCTGGCCATGTAGGATCCAGTGCCTTAACCGCCTCACCACCTGCTGGTCCCATCTATTGCATTTTTTTGAAGTTTTGCTATGTGGTGTGTACACTTAACAGAGACAGAGCAAGAGAAGGAATGTGAGAGTATCCCCGGGGCAAGTGGGGGGGAGGGAGGCGGGTGGAGGTATGGCCATGTTGCAATCCCTTCTCCATTCTTCTCTCAGGATTTTGGTTATGCATTCAGTCATGCTTGGTGTGTTTTTCAAGCTGTTGGATCAGGATTCAAATCATGTGGTCCACCATGTGGGAGTCCAGCCACCTTAACCTGCACACCATCTGCTGCATTCTTCAAAGTCTGAGGCATGGTGGTTAAGGCAGCTACATCCCACATGCCTGACTGCCTGGTTCAAGTTTCAGACTAGGCGGCTGAGAAACACACCAGGTGCGTATTTATATGTGCCCAAAAACCCCAACAGGAAGATGAAGGGACAGCAGAGTGACTAGGCCCCTCAGGAAGTGCTTTCTCTCTGGCAAGCACATGTACTCTCTGTCAAAAAAAAAATAAAATTAAGTGGGGATTCAGTATCTCTTAGTGAAAGTTCTTGTAACGTAACTGAGACAGGCTACAAAACTTCCAATTAGAGAGAAGTTTCAAAAGTGTTAGCTTTAGGGCATTAAGTCAAATGATGGATTGGTCATAATTGCTAAAAAATATATATATACAAAAATTTAAAAAATAAAAATAAAAGGGACCAGCAGTTAGCGTAATGGCTATGTCGCTGGACTCCCATGTAGTAGGCCGCGGGTCGAGTCCCAGACCCGGTGGCTTAAACTCACACCAGGCGTGTGTGTGTGTGCCCAAGATCCCAAGAGGAGAATGGAGAAGGGATTGCGGCATGGCCATCCCCCTGGGGGTGATTTCTCGCTTTCTGTCTCTGTCTGTCTGGTTGGCGAGTGCATGCGCCCTATAATGAAAACCTCTCCAAAAAAAAAAAACAGACTTTTGACTTTTTCCCTTGTTTTTAAAACTATACTAGACAAGATGTCTGCTTCTTAGACAAGTCACACTCTAAGTAGTCTAATTTGTTTTCCTCTTACAAAAGTCTTTCAGAAAACTCTTCTTATATTTCTAAATATCTAGAAGCTCACCGTGCATTATACAAATTAATAAGAAATTCATAAATGTACTCACAAGGAAATTACAGCTGTAACTTTATCTGCCCACCCTTCCTAGAAATGACTGTTATCCTCACAGTGCTTTCAAAACACACTCAGGAGTAATTAAAAGTAGACTAGATGTTCTTTGTCCATTTAAATGATTCAGTGTATGTTCCCTTCAAATGGATTTTACGTTCCAGTTATACACAGAACAATTAGTCCCTGTTTTTCCATTTGGCCTATTCCTAAACCATACAAAGAAAATTACAGCTATCTCCTCCTAAGCTGCCAAGCTATGATGAATGTGGTAATAACCCTATTATTTCCATGTCCACGGGAACTCATGATTATAAAAATGGGTTTTAAGTACTTTATTTATGGCAAAGATACACTGAGCTACAAGGTCCAAAATATACACAGATGCTTAATAACTAAAGGAAAATGTTACATAAATGCAATCTTACACACCCACCAGCCACCACCACCACGCAAGCAGCTTGCTCTCAATTTCTAACAATGTGCCATCATCTGAGTGGCCTGTTTGAGCGTGGACCTCTGAGAGCACTCATACTGACAGAGGTGTTTATTAAACTTCCTGTAAAAGCCAAGTATTTTTCAAATGTACAGGCTTGGTTACACTTTTTTTTAAGTTTTTTTGCCACAGTGCTTGTGTGCTCACTGGAGAGAGACAAAGAGGGGGAAAGCGAGAAATCACAGCCCTCCTACCCAGAGGTAGGCCATGTTGCAATCCCTTCTCCTCCATTCTCCTCTTGGAATTTTGGGCAAACACACACATGTGTACCAAGTCTTTTCAAGCCACTGGGTCCTGGACTTGAACCATGGCTGACCATGTGGAAATCCAGCACCTTAATCACGCCACCTGCTGACCCCTACACTGGTTTTATATGTAAGCATTTTATTCATTTAACCAACATGAGCAGCTTTGGTTTCCTCATCTGCAAAATACACATACTTACCTTCACTGAGTTGTTTTGAAGATTTTGTTAAATGGTTACATCACTGGACTCCCACATGGCTGACAATGGTTTGAGTCCTGGACCAGGCGGCTTGAAATTCATGCCGGGTGCATGTGCATGGTGTGCCGAAAATCCTGAGAAGAAAATGGAGAAAGGATTGTGATGTGGTCATTTCCCCTGGAGGGTGATTTCTCACTTTCTATCTCTATGGTGAGTACACACGCTGTATAGCAAAAATCTCTAAAAATAAATAAATAAATAAAAGGTCCTCACAATTTTTTTTTTTTTTGGTAGGTTTTTACCTTAGAGAGTATGCACTTGCTAGGAAGAGAGACAATAAGAAGGAAAGTGAAAAATCACCCCCAGTGGGACGGCCACACTGTAATCCCTTCTCTCCATTCTCCTCCTGGGATATTAGGTACACACACATGCCCAGTGTGAGTTTCAAGTCACTGGGTCCAAAACTCGAACCATAGTCAGCCGTGTGGGAATCCAGCGACATAACTGCTATGCCATCTGCTGGCTCCATTTCTCTTATAGTTAATCACTATATATCTTTTTTTTTTTTTTTTTGGAGAGGTTTTTTTCACTATAGGGCATGTGTGCTCACCAGACAGAGACAGACATAGAGACAGAAAGCGAGAAATCACCCCCCAGGAGGGATGGTCACGCCGCAATCCCTTCTCCTCCATTCTCCTCTCGGGATCCTGGACACACGCACATGCGCCCGGCGTGAGTTTTTTTAAGCCACCGGGTCCGGGACGCAAACCGCAGTCGACTATGTGGGAGCCCATAGCCATTACACTAACTGCTGGTTCCCATCACTATATATCTTAAGTATACAAAATGCACATTCCCAGCATGGATATATTGTATATTTGCCCAAAGATATTACTATACATACCATCAACAGGTAACTTTCAGTTTTGAGTCCATTAAATGTTTTCTTTTTTGGTTGTTTCCCCTCTTGATTCTCTCCCTCCTGCCCCTCAAGGACTCAAGTCCCAGACCAGCGGGTAGCACAGAGGTTAAAGCAGCTGGATCTTACACGGCCAACTGTACAGTTCACAGGCCAAGTCCCGGCTACCTGAAAAAAGGAGTGCATGTCCATGCATGGCCAGAACCCTAGGAGGAGAATGGAGGACAGGGGATTTTGATGTGGCCATCCCCCTGGGGAAGGGAAGTTTTTTCCCCACATTCCCTCTTTATCTCTTCCTCTTTGTCTCTCTGTGCCCTATACTACAAAAAGGAAAGAAAATAAACTAACGAGTCCCTAGAGCTACCTAAATTCTTGATATAGTCCAACTGTTTCCCCCCCCCGCACTCAAACAGAAGAACTTCAAGAGAAAACACTGACATGTTTTATAAAAAAGCTACCAGTTTATTAACATATTATGTTCTAGTATCTATCAAAGTTTCAAATGGGACATTTTAAATCTCAAATAAGAAATCACAATATTCCCTATTAATTAAAAAGGGAAAAAAAGGGAAGTGGTGAGGGTGGTCATTCTTGGGTTTTAGTCCAAAATGAAAGTGTGGAAAATGTTTATTTTGGTGGGTCTGTGTTGATGCCATACTTCTCCTTGAGAAGCTTCAGCTGTTCCTCCTTCTTCTTTGTGTCCATCTTCTGAAATGCCTGGAAATGATAAGCACTAAAGTTAACAACTAGGTCGCCTACAGTCAAAGGCATTTCACGAACAGCACTAGCCAAAGAAGAAAACTTGCTGTACACATTTCCCAGCATGGACAGTTCTGCACAAATCTCAAATGCTCACCACACGACGAAAATGTTCCTATACTCACCCTGTTGGCATTATAGTACAAAACCACAAGGTATCTGTTACAAACATTGAATCCTGACAGGTGATCACACGCATTCTTGGCATCAAAGATGTCTTCATATACCACGTAAGCTGTCCCTCTGGTTTCAGGTGTGTTCCCCCTGCAGCATTAAATTGAACTTAATTAAAGTACACATTTACTTGAGCACCGATAGTTGAATAACCTGTGTTTTAAACCTGTAACTGTCTTTCAAAGGTAGTATACTACCACGCCACCTGCTGGCCCAGAATGATGGCTCTTAGTAGCCAGTAGTATCTAGAAGAGGAAGACCCTTGTTTCTAAAGATTGGATTTTTTCCCTCTCACCCTGACTGAATTATAGTTTTAGTTTCTAAAGACAAGCCAATCTTCATCAATGAAGGAAATAAATGCTTCTAGGCAATATTTTACTAAGGTTTATTAAATTCATAAAAATACAATCTATTGTGTGTATATGTGGGAGTCTCTACCAAGATGAAAAAATCATCAATGATATATGGAAAACCAGTCAATCATCATGCTTTGTGGCCAAGAAAGGATATCCTCCAATGTAAAGAGAAAGATAATAGAGGGAGTTAATATAGTTTCTTCCATTTTTCGTAGCTCTTTTGACTTTATAAAATACAATACAGTCAGCTTACCTCCCTTCATACTTTATTTATTTATTTTTAAAAATTTTCCTGAAAGTGTGTTCTCCAGGGCAGGTGGGAGGGAGAAAGCACCCCCCCATGGGCAGTGGTCGTACCCCAGTCTCTTCTCCATTTCTCTATGCTGTCAGGATTGAGGGCACACATATACAGGCACCTAGAATGTTTTTCAAGCTGCCAGGGCCTGGATTCAAATCAGCCAGCCATGTGGGATCTGGCTCCCTTAACCACTAGATTGTGGGGCTGGCCCTTTCCAAAACATTTTCTAAATTCACTGACTTAAGCATCTTTTTATTTAGAGAGAGAGATTTTTGCTATAGAGTGCATGCACTCGCCAGAGAAACAGAAAGTGAGAAATCACGCTCCACACCCCATTGACAGTCATACCGCAATCCCTTCTCCATTCTCCCCTTGGGATCTCGGGCATGCACGCATATGCGCCCAACGTGAGTTTTAAGCTGCCAGGTCTAATACTCAAACCATGGTAAACCAGGTGGGAGTCCAGTGATGTAACCATTATGCCATCTGCTGGTCCTGACTTACTCATCTTTTTTTTCTTTTCTTTTTTTTTTGAGAGATTTTCACTGTAGGGTGCGTGCACTCGCCAGACAGACAGAGAGAGACATAGAGACAGAAAGCGAGAAATCACCCCCTAGGGGGGATGGTCACGCCGCAATCCCTTCTCCTCCATTCTCCTCTCGGGATCTTGGGCACGCACGCACACGCGCCCGGCGTGAGTTTTAAACCACCGGGCCCGGGACACAAACTGCGGTCGACTACATGGGAGTCCAGCGACATAGCCATTACGCTAACTGCTGGTTCCCCTGACTTACTCATCTTTTAACTGAAGTTTTATAATGCTTTCATACATTTATCATGACCACATGGATCATTTTCTATATTAGTCACTTAGTTATATAAAGAGAGTACAGTGCTTACCATCTATCAGTCACAAGTGCTGTCAACACAAAGCACAAAGAATATATAAGACTAGCCAAGAGCTGGAGCTCACAAGCTGCCAGAAGAAACAGGTAAGTACACACACAGCAGCAAAACCATAGGCTAAGTAGTAAGATGCATATAGAGGGCGTTATGGGAGCACAGGGGAGGGGCAGCTAACATACAACAGGAAGGAAACACTCAACAAAAACTTTCACCCATACTGTCGAAGATGGTCCCAACTAAAATTCTTTTAAATAGGTGGTTTAGAAAAACTGGATTTCATAGATTATTGAAGTTACAGTGAATTAAAAAGTTTTCTAGGGGCCAGCTCTGTGGCCAGGTGGTTATTAAGGGAGCAGGATCATACACCGTCAACTGCACGGTTCTAATCCTAGCTCCGGCATCTTGAAAAATATGCTGGGCATGTGGGAGTGAGTGTGTGCCCCAAACCTCAATAGTCTGGAGAAACAGAGAAGTGATTGTGGCATGACGACTTTCCACTGGGGGTTGCTTTCTCCCTCGTCCTGTCTCTTTTTTGGTGAGTACACATGCTCTCAGGCAAATTTAAAAAACAAAAATTTAGTTTCACATGACTAGCAAGTGCATGGTTAGTTCTTAGAACCAATCAGTAAATTTACCATGCTTTCCTGTTAAAAGCTGCAAAAATACTAGATAACCTATCACACACGAAGAAAGAAAACCAGAAAAAGCCAGGCAACTTGTCATATGGCTAATGACAGGGCCAGAACTAAAATTCTGTCTCTGGATCCCCAAGGACCTTCTGTATATCGTTCTTTATACCTAGAACAGGAGTTTTTTTTTTTTTTTCTTTTTTAAGGCTATGTATTTACTTCCCCCTGAGTAAGAGAGACAGACAGAACACACTCCCAACAGGGTCTCGACACCACAATCCATGCCCAGTCTTCAAGCAGTTCTGGACCACAGGCAAGTGTACTCAGGGGTCTCTGGACTTGAACCAGGAAAGTTCCTATATGGGACTGCCTAACAGAATGTTGCATTTTATTTCTGCACTATCGTCTGTCCCTAAGAATAGAGTTTCTTAACCCAGACCCCATGTATCCCCTAAAATATGCAAAATGTTGTGTTTTCTCCTGTGGAGAGAGTCCAAAGCTTCTATCACACTCAGAGGGGCTGACCTCCCCAAAAGGATAGCTGGTCCGTATCACTTCTGTTTTCAACCCGTCTGAGTATCAACAATTCTGTGTGTCCAGCTCGGTATACTTTCTGGAAGGACAGCGATAATTCAGAGAGTCCTCAAGACCTTACAGTCCTATAAAACCTATCAGTTCATAGAAAAACTTATTAAGAAAGACGAGAGCCAGCAGGTGGCATGGTGGTTAAGCCACTGGACTCCCACATGGCCAACCATGGTTCAAGTCCCAGGCCTGGCAGCCTGAAAATCACACCAGGTGTAGGTACATAGGTGCCCAAAATCCAGAGAGAAGGGACTGAGGCATGGCCATCCTCCTGAGGGAGGATGTGATTTCTCACTTTCCCTCTCACACTCTCTGGTGGGTGCACACACACTACGGCAAAAACCTAAAAATTAAAATAAATAAATAAATACTCTGGGCCAGCTCTATAGCCTAGTGATTAAGGGAACCAGATCCTACATGGCTGACTGTGGTTCAAAATCTGGCTCCAGTGGCTTGAAAAACATGCTGGGTGTGTTTGCATGAGTTCCCCAAATCCCAACAGAACAGGAAATGGAAAAGGGATTACAGAATGACCATACCCCATTGAGGGGCACTTCCTACCCTATCCTCATCTTTCTCTGGTGAACATACACGCTCTTTGGCAATTAAAGAAAAGGGAGGGGTATTTCTAGACCAGCCTTGTGGTCTACTGGTTGAGGGAGCCAGATCCCACATGGCTAACCTTGGTTCAAATCCCAGCCCTAGCAGGTTGAAAAACATGGTAGGTGTGTGTGCATGTCTGAAATACCAGTAGGATGGAGAACTGGAGAAGGGATTGCAGCATGACCAGTCCCCATTGAGGAGTGTTTTTTTCCTCTTCCTCTCTGTCTGATATATGCACCCTCTGGCAATTAAAGAGAGAACTATTCTGAATCAAAAATAAAATTTTTAGAAATCCTTTCAGATGGAATTAGATAATCAGCCCTTTTATACTAGGTTAGGGTGGCAAAGGTTATGGTACTGAGTATTGTAGAAGTTTGATTTAAAATCAGAAGATTTTACCACTAAACACTGTAAGACACTAGAAAGGTACTCTCTGGGCCTTAGCAGTCTCACCTGTAAAACAGATAGAGTACCACTTTCACACAGGGCTAGTTCTATTGATGAAAACAAAAACACCCAGAATGATACATGTTATTTAGTAGAAGTTCCATAAATAGTACCTACAAGAACAAACAACAATCTTTCTATTAAATTAAAACATAAATTCTTTTTTTTAAAGAATTACTTAACTTTATTTATTTATTCATCTATTTTAATTTGATCAGATACACACACACGGGTGGAGAGAGAGAGAGCAAGAGAGAGAGAGAAGGGGGAAAGCAAGCCACCAAGTCCATGACTCGAACCATGGTTGGCCATGTGGGATTGTCCAGAGCCTTAACCACCGCTCTACCTGCTGGTCCCAAAAGATAAATTCTTAAAGCTAGATGTTTTCTCCTATACTTTTAATTCTTTAATGGAAAGAGCTGAGTTAGGACCAGCTAGTACTGTGGTAGTTAGGGTGGCTGGATCCCACATGCCCAAATGAATGGTTCAAGTCCTGGACCCAACAGCTTGGGACATATGCTGAACATATACATATGAATGCATGCCTAAGATCCCAAAGGGAGAAAGGAGAAGTGATTATGGCATAGCCATCCCCCATGGAGGATGCTTTCTCACTTCCTCTCTCTAACTCTGGTGAGTGCACACTCCCTCTACAAAATTTAAAACAAAACAAAACAAAACAAAAAAACACAAACTAGTTGAAAATGTCATGCTTCAGTTACTTTTATATCCTTTTACTCAGTTTATTCGAAAATTTCAGAGTCAGTAAGACAGACAGTGAAAACTGTTGAGAAAATTAATGCATACATCTAAAAAAACATAGTCCAGTACTTAGTTTTACAAGTATGCAATAATGTTAATTCCTTCCCTCCCTCAAACCATTCATCGCCACTTGATGATGTCTAATTCTCAACTACTACTACTAGCTCCCATGGAGAGGGATCATTGGTCTCAATAGGTTTTTTCCTTCCTAAAAACAAAGTTTATATCCTTCAATATGCTGCCTCTAGACTTTTTTATTCTTTTTATTGCCAGAGGGTGTGTGCTTACCAGAGATGGGGAGAAGGAGAAAGCACTCCCTCATGGGGATGACCACTCTGCAATCCCTTCTCCTCTATTTCTTCATCCTATCAGGACTTTGAGCCTTCACGTGCATGCGCACACGTGTGCATGCGCGTGCACACACACACACACACAGAGGTGTCCAGCATATTTTTTAAGCCACCATGACTGGCCATCTAGGATCTAGAATCCTTCAACCACTAGGTTATGGAACCAGCCCAGTGCCTAGGCTCTTGGTTAGGGCTGCCGTACTTGTACACCACACACAGTGGCTTTGATGTCAACTATAATTCTGAGATCATTGCTTATGCAAATATTTTCTTTACATGGCATTTCAAAAGTCTCAGTAAGACTCACACTCTGATCTGACGAATAGGTCCGTATTTCCCAAATATATCATACATTTCTTCAGCTGTGATTTTGTATGGCAAATTTCTTATATATAAAATGCGATTTACTTCAGGTGGAAGTCGAATCTAAAATGAGAAATATATACTGTCATTATAATCAGGCACAGTGGTGCTACCATTTAAAAAAAAGTCTCAACTAGACATAATAAAAAGCCAAGAATATGAGTTACAATCAGATGCTGAGTCTGGACTGAATATGGCATAATCTTCAGAGAAGCAACTGAGCACTGGTTCTAGGGAAGACTCATGGCAGGAACTAATAAGGGCCACTATAAAACCAACGCTTTAGTCACTACAGTTAAACAAGCATTTCCAATCCCAGGAAAAAGCTCTTGAAGCTTCAAGCATGTACAAGAAACAAAGAAGGGAACTGTTCTTGTTCTCTAGACGATAAAATTTCCATCGATAAACCTTCTCTGTCTTCTTGGGAACTTGTTTTATCAATCATCCTCTTTTATTTAAGAAAGCACTCTGCTGGGACCAGCAGATGGCACAGTGGTTACGTCGCTGGATTCCCATGTAGTCGACCACAGTTCCAGTCCCAGACTTGCTGGCTTAAAACTCATGCAGGGCGATGGGAACAACAGAGAGTGTAATGGCTATGTCACTGGACTCCCATGTAGTCAACCATGGTTTGAGTCCCAGACCCGGTGGCTTAAATTCACACCAGGTGCATGTGCGTGTGCGCCCAAGATCCTGAGAGGAGAATGGAGAAGGGATTGACCATGTGGCAATCCTTCCTGGGAGTGATTTCTCGCTTTCTGTCTCTCCGTCTGTCTCTGTCTTTCTGGCAAGCGCACAGGCCCTATAGCAAAAACCTCTCTGAAAAAAATAAAAAGTATGTCCTTCATAGGCCTTTATCTTTAGACTTCTTTTCTTAACATCTTGAAATACTTTCCTTGACTTTTTAAAACTCTTTTTGGTCTCTTAACCACATATGCGGTTCCCTCAGTTAGTTGATGACTCCCATCCAGAGCTCATCTTCTGCTCCTTGATAACATATTTGATTACGTGCCAAACATAAATATGCTCAATGTGTAATTAAACTGACACCTGTTCTTGACATTAAGCTAACTAGTGTGTAAGTAGTGTCTAAAGGTAAGTATTCAAATTCTTTCCCCTCAAACTAGTAGTGGTAATAACTGATAAATAATTACTAATTTCAAGATTCAAGGTTAGGCAGTCAACACTGCCAACCATATATACTTCTCTAGTAAGTCTGCTTTCTCACTCTACAAAACATTATCACATTTTCTCTGCTCTCCTCAAATCTTATCCCATCATCTTCTCTAACAACGGAGGTGGGTTATACCCCTTTCCCTGCACATCCGAGAAGATGACTGGCTCCTGCTTCTTGGAGAAGATAGGTATGACCAGATGGTAAGTACCTTTGGTTTGAATCACTAAACCTATCAATCTACATTCATCTACATGCACCCACTTTTTATCCATGACTACACCAATGCTTTGTCTATTCAAAACTTTCACTTCTAAACCTAACTCATCTTTCCTTCCTAACATGTTTCTCCCCCTCTCTGGATCATTTCCACAGTGTATACAAATATATCACACACCTTTAAAAAAAATAATTACTGGGACCAACAGATGGTGTAAGGGCTACACCGCTGGACTCCCATGTAGTTGATCATGGTTCGAATCCTGGACCTGGTGGCTTAAACTCACGCCAGGCACATGTGCGTGCATGGCCAAGATCCCGACAGGAGAATGGAGGCGTAGGGATTGCAGCAGGGCCATCCCCCATGGGGGGTGATTTCTTGCTTTCTGTCTGTCTGTCCCTTTCTGTATTTCTGGCGAGTGCATGTACCCTATAGCAAAAACCTCTCCCAAAAAATAATAATTGCTTGTTCAATTTTATTATTATTTTTCAATTCTGACCAGAGACAGACAGACAGACAGGGAAAGTGAGAAAAGCAAGCCACCAGGTCCAGGACGTTAACCAGGGTCAACTATGTGAGTTCAGCTCCTTAACCACCATGCCACCTGCTGGCCTCCACATATCTTAATACGGGAAAAAAGCCCATACTTAACCAATTTCTCTATTTACTATGGACATGAAAACTCATGGAAAGAGTTGTCTTGTTATCTCCAATTTCTGAACTTTCTCCACCTTTTCATAACAATGCAACCAAGTTTTCCTTCACTGAAATGATTCTTTTTTTTTTGGAGAGGTTTTTCCTATAGGGCGTGTGCGCTCGCCAGACAGACAGAGACAGAGAGACAGAAAGCGAGAAATCACCCCCGAGAGGGGGGGGCCACGCCGCAATCCCTTCTCCACTCTTCTCTCGGGATCTTGGGCACGCACGCACACGCGCCCGGCATGAATTTAAGCCACCGGGTCCGAGACGCGAACCACAGTCGACTACGTGGGAGTCCAGCGACATAGCCATTACGCTAACTGCTGGTCCCCACTGAAATGATTCTTACCATCAAGGTCAACAAAATCTTCACCTCACCATAACCAATGGTCAATTACGTGTTTTCACTTGAATCTCGAAGCATCTTATTGTTAACTATTCTCTTGAGACGTTTTAAAGGGTTCCACAACACCCTTTTCTCTAACAATAAAATGTAAGCAAAGGACTTTTTGTTGTTTTATTCGCTGTTGTGTCCTCGATTCCTAAGAGTAGTGTCTGGCACATAACAGACGTTCGATAAATGTAACTGATTAATTATTTCCCATATCGCAAGCCAAGGAGGTGCTCGAAATTGTTGAATTAATACACGAAGAAAGGATACGAAAAGTTGCCCGATCCGAGAATTCCTAACTGCCGATGAACCACTAAGTTACTGAGGACTGGCCTGTGCTACCGACTCTCAGGCAGCGTCCTAACAAGTCCGGGTCCTGGGGCAGGCCGCGAGGCTCACAGCACCACTGACGCCAGGGCAGGGGTGGAAGGGCCTCTCAGAGGGGTGGCAGTGGGTCAGGGGCTCTAGGCGCGCCTGCTCACCACCTCGAGGATGGGCGGGGCAGATCCCCTCACCTGGGAGCGGGAGGGACAAGAACGCTCTGCCCACGCCGCCGAGAGTCAAGCAGCCAAACCCGCCCTCTCTCCGAAGGCCCCGGTACTCACGTTCGCCCTCTTGGCCGCTTGCATCGCCATCTTGGCGGGCTGATGAGGTTACCGCCTCCAACACTGGGATGCCTCTGGACAGTTCAGCTTCGAGCGCGACAGAGTCAGACGCAGGACGTCAACATCCAGGCTCGCCGGAAGTTGTATTAGCACGGCCGGAATATCGCCGTCCCACGCCGAGACGTGCTGACGTATACCCCCTTTCTAACAGACTCCCACCGCAAAGGAGCCTAAGCAAAACGTGAGGCCGGAAGGTGGAATGACGAGCCCCAAGACACTTCCGGGTTTTAGACCGGAAAAGGCGGGGCGTAACTTCCAGGAGGAGGTGTTCCGGTCGGAGTGGTCCTGGGAGGCGGGAACTAGCCCGAAGGGCGGGGACTAAGGAGGGTGGTGAGAGGCGGGGCGGGGCCTGGTGCTGGGAGGCGGCGACCAGGTGCGGGGGCACTCAAGCTGCACCTGGGCGTCTAGCCCGGCGCAAGGCGGAGCCTGCTGGGCTGTCGCTGTTACCGTAACCCGACCCCTGGCAGCCCCCAGGTTGAGCACTCGCTGATCGCACCTCTCCCGCCGCCCTGCCCACCCCTCCCCTGCCTGACCCAGTCTGCGCGCAGACGCCCAGTGAACCAGGCGCCGTTTCAGTCCACTCTTTATTTCCTTTGACCGACTTTACCCGGATCAGTCGACGAGGCAGACCTGGCAGAAGCAGCCAGGCCCTTGCTTGCGTACTGTGCATTTTCTCCAGGTTTCCCCCAGGAAGCCCGGGCGTGGCCGTGACCTGTCCTGCGCCCTCTTCACTGGGGCAGCTCCAGGACGATTTTGCCCAGGTTCTTGTTAGATTCCATGTGCTCGTGGGCCTTTTGAATTTCAGTCATTGGGTAGACTCTGTCCAGAACCGGCAAGAGACGTTGGGGGCCCTCCGTGGAAAAGTGGGGCAGAATCTGCTCCGTGAATGCTTTCACCAGCATTTCCTTGTACTGAGATAAGGAAAAGGAGACCGTCAGCCTTAGCATTTTTGCTCTCTGAAACCATCTGAAAGAGCACACAGGAACTGAACCTCTTCACTTCCCAGCACGTGGTGCGTGCCCCTCCCTCTGCTGTGCACCAGATAGACTAAGGAGTCAAGTATTGGTGTCACTGCCCTTCCAAGGGCTGCATTTAAATAAAGGTGTTCTGTAGGAGACAGCCAGACAGGACTTAGGTAGGCTCGATGCACAAAGAACGCTTAAACTCTGCTCTCCTGTGAAGGCGTGCAGCGAGAAACATTCCCAAAGCTGGCGCCTTCTAGAAAGCCACACAGAGATTTCATAAACTATCTGTTGAAGGTAGAGGCTTGCTTACTACCTAAGAGGCTTCCTTAGGGTGCCAAGAAGGGTTCTGCCTTTGAAAATACAGTCTTGGAATCATTAGAAGTTCTTCTCAGAGGGTCAGTGCTTTGTTCATTCTGTTAGAAAGTTTAGGTAACTGGGGCCAAGAAATGGTACAATGGTAACAACTGGACCTATATGGGAAGATCCTGGGTTCTCCTCCTAGGGCCTCCCTGTGCTCATGGGCCTGTGATCTGGGGCAGCCCGTGAGGCTGGGGGTGGAATGCAGTGTGAAGACTCAGCTGAGACTGAATCTTTCTCAGAAGAAATAAATACATTTTTTAAGAGAGATTTTTGCTATAGGGCACATGTGCTTGCCAGAGAGACAGAGAGTGACAGAGATAGAAAGCGAGAAATCACCCCTCCTCCTGGGGGATGGCCACGCTGCAGTCCCTTCTCCTCCAGTCACCTCTTGGAATTTTGGCAAGCATGCACAGGCACCCTATGTGAGTTTTAAGCCACCAGGACTTGAACTGTGGTCAACTATGTGGCAATCCAGCAATGCAACCATTATGCCATCTGCTGGTCCCAATAAAAACATTTTTAAAAATGTTTAGATGATATATGAAATGTTAGCTAGGCTCTTTCTAACATGCTGAGGCTTCTATCTACCAACCTGAACTGATTTTCTGATATCAGTTTACCCATTTATCCATAGGGGGCAGGTTTGTTCATAGGCTCCCTAAACTAAGATGTGATAGAGCTCTCTTCCTTAGAGTAATGTAAATGAGCCAGACTTTAATGGATAATAGTTATATCACATGTTTTCTAAAGAATTACTTTTTTTATTAGCATTATTTTTCAGTTTTGATCAGAGAGAGACACAGAGAGTAAGCCACCAGGTCCAGGACTCAAACCGTGGTCAACCATGTGGGAGTCCAGTATCTTTAACCACCATGCCACATGCCAGCCCCACATTGCATTTTTCTCTTTTCTTATCACTCACCTTTTTGTCCCTAGATCTCAGCAGACTGGTAATCAGACTTCCTCGTTTAAAAAGTAGCTTCGAAAGCAAAGGCCCACTGACATTATCTCCTCCCATCAGACCATAGAGAAGCCAGCGACCATCAAGAGCCAGACAGTTGACGTTCTTCTCCCAGTAGGATCCACCTATGCAGTCTAGAATCAGGTTAACTCCAGCACCTTTCATAGAAAACAGATTTGTGATGTTAGTCAGCCCCTGAAAATAAGATTCCATGGTATATGTGTATATGTGTGTGTGTGTGTGTGTGTGTATATAAATAAAGTACAATGGTAAATCTTTAGGTTGGAACTAGAAACACTGCCCAGTGAAACACTGTGGAAAATGGAGTCTAGGGAGTGGAACTCCATCATGGCATGTGTGACATAGCTCATCTCTTCTGACATCTAGCCACAGCAAAAGGGATACAGGCAACACCATGATCTGGCATCTCTCCTCCTTCGCCGTAAGTACAGTCCTAACGGCACCAAGGCATAAGCGAGAACAGAACACGCGAGGTCCACCCTAAGCTATAGGGCAGGGAGGCTAGTTGCTTACATCTGTGTTATGAAGTGTCTGCACTGAGCTGTCTTTTTTTTTTTTTTTTTTTTAATTTGTGCTAGAGAGAGAGGAAAGTGAGAAAGCACCTCCTGGGGGTAATAATCATGCTACAATCCCGTCTCAGGATTTTGGGCTCGCATGCACATGCACCCGGCATGTTTTTCAAACCACCAGGTCGAGGATTCAAACACAGCCATGTGAGTCAGCTTCCTTACCCACCATACCACCCAGCTGGCCCTGTGCTAGGTTACTGAATGACAGGCTTACAAGGTTTGGTTTCATTGCTCCTTTTCTAAGCACACAAAAAATGGAAAGGGATGAACCAAAATATACAGATTTAGCTTGAGAATACAAAAGTAGGCATACCTATTCACCATGTAGGGAGTTCCCACCCTAGTTCTACTACAGCTCCAAACTGATCTTGGCCCCACACTTCTTGTTAACTCACTGGAGTGGCTAGTTGGGAAGATATCTTAGAAAATTCCAGGCCAACTCTATGACTATCCAGTTTATAAAGAGTGTAAGAATCGTATCATTCACAAGAATGCACATGGAAACCATTTCAGATGGAAATCCTGACTGCCTGCCTCCAGTGGTCAAATGGCAGAGTACTAGAATTTGTCTAGGCAGCTGCTATGCATTTAGCTGAGCCAAGACCAATTCAGAGCACGGACAACCTCTGGGCTGGTGAGGATTTTATTTAATCATCACT